CCCGTGTCCCCTGCATCGGCAGGCGGCCTCTCAACCACTGCGCCACCAGGGAAGCCCCACCTCAGTATTTTTGTCAAAAATCAATTGACCATATACATATGGATCTATTTGTGGACTCTATCCTGTTTCACCTACCTTTTACATAAACACTATCACAATGTCTCGGTTACTGTAGCTTTATAATAAGTCCTGAAATCACACAGTGTGGGTCTTCTAAACTTTCTTCTTCTTTTTCAAAAATGTTTGGCTATTCTAGCTCTTTTGATTTTTCATAATTTTTAGAATAAGTTTAAGTTTATCAACATCTAGAAAAAAGTCTACTGGGATTTTACTTGGGATTGCATTGGAGAGGACTCTCATTGTAATATACTGTTTTCCAATCCATGAACATGGTATCTCCATTTATTTAAGTCTTCTTTAATTTCTCTCAGCCATCATTTTCCACTCTTCAGCACACAGATCTTATATATATATATATATATATATATATATATATATATATATATTTAAAGTTTATTCCTAAGTACTTCATATTTTTGATGCTATTAAGTGGTATTGTTATTTTGTAAAATTTTTACTGGAGTATAGTTATTTACAATGTTGTGTTAGTTTCAGGTGTACAGCAAAGTGAATCTGTTATACATATATATCCACTCTTTTTTTGATTCTTTTCCCATATAGGCCATTACAGAGTATTGAGTAGAGTCCCTTGTGCTGCACAGTAGGTCCTTATTAGTTATCTATTTTATATATAGTAGTGTGTATATGTGAATCCCACTCTACCAATTTATCTCTCCACCCCCTTACCCCCGGTAACCATAAGTTTATTTTCTACATCTGTAACTCTGTTTTGTAGATAAGTTCATTTGTACCCCTCTTTTTAGATTCCACATATAAGCAATATCATATGATATTTGTCTTTCTCTGTCTGATTTTACTCACTATGACAATCTCTAAGTCCATCCATGTTGCTGCAAATGGCATTACTTTGTTCTTCTTTATGGCTAGTATTCCACTGTATATATGTACCACATCTTTTTTATCCATTCCTCTGTTGATGGTGGTATTGTTATTTTAATTCCAATTTCCAATTGCTTATTGTTAGTATGTGAAAATACAACTGTTTCTATATATTGACTTTGTATCTTGTGACCTTTTAAACCCAGTTATAGTTTTAGTAGCCTTTTTAATAGATTCCTCAGGATTTCTACCCCAGTAACAATGAGCATGTATAGTGCTCAGATATTGGTTTCTAAATATCATTTATAAAAAATCAGGAGCAATAGCTGATTCAAGGGCAAAGGCTAGGAAAATACCAGATAAGCCTGTTAACATCTTACTGTGTCAAAAAGAAAGAAAGTGCTCAAAGAAAGATGGGAGATGTCAAACGGACAGAGAAACTAGTCATAAAGAGACTCCCATTGGCTGCTCTTTCACTATGAAGAGAAGGAAAGCTCTTTCTTATCAAAGAATGCTAATAAATGTAGAAGAAATAATGGAATTAGGAAATCACCGCTTGGGAAACATCACAGTAATAACTGTTAACTAAAGATTCTAAAACTAGTGAGTAAAAGTTCGACAAGAAACAAGATATTTACAAAGATTCAAGGTACCTCCCCTACAAGGTACTTTTTAATTACGAAGGAAGAAAATAATAACTTTATAGTGGAGAAATGTGGAAGATACCATTTTCACCAAGTGGTTAAAGTTAACATCACTAGCATTAGACTCTCATGTGCTTCCTGATATGATGTACTGACAAGAACACATGCATCTATGTCACTCCTTCCAAAAATGCATAAGCTGAATGTAATGAGGAAATATTACACAAGTCTAAACTGAGAAACATTCTATAAAATATAAATGGTCTATATGTATTTTTCAAAAATGTCATAGTCATGGAAGTCAAGAAAAAAACAAGGAACTGTTACATATAAAAGAAAACTAATGAGAAACAATAAATACAACATGTGATCCTGCAACAGAAAACAATGTTTTTCTTTTATTATAAAGGACATTAATGAGACAACTAGTAAAATATGAAGTCTATAGATAGTTTCACAGTTAATTTGCTCATTTTGATAACTGCACTGTGGTTATATTAGAAAATGCCCATATTTTTAGGAAATGCAAATTAAAAGTAAATATGAGTGGATATAGAGGGGCATCATGTCTGCAACTTACTCTCAAACGGTTCTGCGAAAAAAAACCCAGGTACATACAGCAGATAAAGCATATGTGGTAAAACGTTAACCTTTGGGGAATCTGGGTGAAGGATATATAAAAATTCTTTGTACTATTTTTGAAAGTTTTCTGTAAAAATACAATTATTACACAATAAAAAGTTAAAAAAAAAGAAATCACATGTGTGATTACTTCCTCTACTTAGCACACATACCCAGATTTTCGATGGTGTAATAGCGCTGTTTATAGTCCACTTTTATGGTCTGGGCATGAGGGCTGCCAATGCCATAACCAATGGCATAACCTCTGACCACAATGTTCTGATTCTCCGGAGGTGTCCAGCTTACTACGATGCTAGTGACAAGTGGGCGGACGTGAAGAGAACTAGGCACTTCGGGGACACGAGTTTCTGGGAAGGAAAACAGAAAAGAAGTATGATATCTAGAGCCACTTTCCTTTAGAATATTTCATCATGCTTGGGAAATGGTGTTCAGCCTTCCGCCAAATTATTTGGTGCTAAGTTTTTTCCATTTTCCCAAGAATTCAAAGAGAATCTATATGTACAGTAAAGTATGGCCCATGGTTTTACTGCAGTCTAAGAAAACAAACTCAAACAGCCTGAAATACAAAACACTGCAGTATTAATTTGGAAGGGAAGAGAAAGAGATCCAAGAACGTCTTCCCAATGGAGAAAAACAAATAAGTTGTCTTTCAATTGTTACCCATTCCTCTTGGTCCTACATCTGATTCCCAAACTCTACCAGGTGGAATGAGAAAGGCACAACATCAACTAATTAGAAGCCTGCTGTCAACAGGTGATCAAGTATCATATTACAGCAATGATATCAATTATTTACTCCCCAAAGTAATATGGTAAGTCAGAAAATATGAAACTTTAGAACCACAAATTGATTTAAACGGTGGGAGACTAAGGGGTGGCAATTACAGTACCTTTAAAAGGTGGCAATTTACATACCTTTCACATACATTATTTCAAGGCATAAATTTCTACCACTATTTAAAAATTAGTAAACAAAGAATTAGAGTAAATACCCAGGTCTTTTGTCTTTTAAGTGCAGCACCTGTCTCTGATAAAGGTACATACACACACCCACATGGAGTTACTGAATAAACAGGTGAGAAAAAGGGAAAGGTTTCTAGGACTAAGGGAAGAGGGAAACTGAAACTGAAATAAAGGCATAATTTATGTGGTTCAGCCTTGAATTGTATATCATTTATCTACTTGATGGCCTTGGTAAAAAACCAGACTTAAAGCACTTGTACATTTTTACTTGTGCTGGTTCTGCTTAAAGGGACGGTTCTCTAAAAAAAACAAACAAACAAACAAAAAAAACATTGCAGGAGACTCGCTGTATTACAGGAATGACAGCAGTATAAATCCACTAAAGTTCACAGATTTAAGCCACCCAAAATCTGTGCCTTTCCAGTTTGACTCATTTGACTTCAGTTAGTACCTAGCCTGTGCCAGTCCTGCCGATTGTTGTTCTTACCATCTAAGTCACTTTCAAAAGTTTCAGCAGACAGCCAGTCAGTAGCAGGGCCTGTACCATTGATTGTTAGAGCAGCCACTCGGAAATTATATTCAGTCCCACGATCAAGACCTGCAACCCAAACGACAGAAAAAAAAAAGGGCTGAAACAAGAGGTTTGGAAAAACAAAAGATCAGCAATCTCTCATTAAAGCAAATATCTCATCCACCAACTTAATAAAAAGCTACTATCTTGATAACATTTCAGTTAAAGTTAATACAGAACAAGCAATACATAAATACAGCACAGAGGAGCTCCTACCTCTGAAGTAGAGGCTAAAGCCCACAAAATCCAAGAGGAAAACAAAATGAGTAAAGCTCCCAGGAGACTTCAGATCTTTTATAAGAGCTTAAAGGCATCTTAGAGATCACTTAATGCAATCCCTTCACTTTGTTACTAAGGAGGCCAAGGCCAAAAAGAGGCCAAAGGAATGAAAGAGTTACAACAAAGGAACAAAGTCAGTTGGTCTCAAAAGACACCAAAGACCAGAAAATAATGCAGAGGTATAACACCTACCAGTTTACCTCTGTTCTCTGGGCCACCCCATAACCACAGTAGAAAAAAATTTAAACATCTAATATGGCCTAGAAATCTATTTCTCAACAGCCTATTGCCCATAAGTATATACTATAAGTAAAAGAGAAATAAAGCCTTTCTACTATGCAATCTTTCATATTTACTATCAGCTAACAAAGTACCCGATATACCAATGTACCAAAGGCAACAAAGATCTACATGTAAAAGTCTACCCCACAAAGTGAGGTAACAGTCAATAATATGGTCAGCTATTCATATATTCATGCTTCCATTTTTTTTTATTGTGTTAAAATACATATAACATAAAATTTATCATCTTAGTCATTTTTAAGTGTACAGTTCACATGCATACATTTTTAGAGCACTTAGATTCTAGATATTGTGATAGGCCTTGTAAGGGTTATGAAAAATTATCCTACTTCCCCATATTCAAATAACAGCATCTTTGGCCAGCAACATAGTACAGAAACTCCAAAGAGAGAGCTACTGAGAGAGAAGTTGGCTAGGATGCAGGATGAGCCCTTGCTCAGTTAATCAATCCTGTCACGTGGTGTGAGAGGAGAGATGGGAGGTTGTGTCCTCTGCAGGCCCATCCTGATTCTGTTTGTCCACAAGAAAGCAAGAAGCAAGACAGGAGAAGAAGCAGAACGGCTGGGGCCAAGTCAGTTTACCTCTCTGTCTCCTCCCTGCACACACTGAACAGGACGTGCCAGAGTGGGCTACACAAGCATTTGTAACTTTAACAGACAACAAACATGGTTCAATTGAGGACCTGGAAGAATTCAACCAATCAGATTATCATTCCCTCTCCTCTGGGGAGTGAGCAAGTGAGAGAGAGAGTGCACATAAGCAGGTGCAAGTGAGAGAGACGCGTGAGTATAGAGGCTGAGCTCCTCTCCCTCAAGATAACCTAGAGAGCTCATCGACTAAAACCAAGGCACTCGATTCATATTATAAAGATATGGCAGAATGTGTTTAGTGCTGTAAGTGGTACAAAAAGAAGACACAACAATTACTTCTGGCTAAAACTTAAAATCCTATAATTTGCTATTCAGTACAGGATCTTGGGAACCCATACTGTTCTCCAATACTTATCAGCTTCAAGTTAATGCTTCAAGAGAACAATGATCTCCACGTTTGCTCATCATTGTATATTCAGTGCTAGTACCTGCTAATAAAAGTTCAATAAAGTCTATTAAACAAATGAATGAATCTAAATATGATTTTAAAATGCAAGAATTTTCTTGATAAAGAAAAGGCTATTTTTATGATGAAAGTGGTACTCTGCTTATACATCAAATGTTCCACTGAGAAAATGAATAGTCTCCTCATAGGCAAGGACTGTATCTACTTTTACTAGAAACAAGAAGAGTGCCTGGTATACAATAAATATCTACTATTAAACATTCAAAATAAAAGCTTTATCTTTGGGAAGTGTTATTTATCTGTGTCTGGAGTAAAATCAGACTGACTTTTAAGAACATCCGTGACCAATTTTGCTGTAATGCTCCTTTGGTGAGACTTCTCAGCAACACCCCTACAGCCATATTTACCTGCTGCAGCTTAGAGCTGTGGGGTTGAGAGGAAACTAGAAGACTGAAAGATACCCTTGAAGACAAACATTCACCTCCTCCTATTTTCAAAGAAGTCAATCTCATCCATGAGGTGAGGAGTACAGAGAAAAGCTTGCTGGTTTACTGGAGTACAGTTTTTCACTGTCACTGGCTCTCCAATTTTCAGAAACCTATACCTATACAGATTATATGGATTAGGGTTCATTTTTATCAGGTGTGCCACTTGCTCTGTTGCACACAAAGGAAGAACTATACAAAAGAGCTATCCTTGACAGAATTTTCTAGAACTTTATCATGTCTGTAGAGGCAAGAATGATTATTGCATGGCTGTGGCTATTCACAAATGTTGTTTCAGGCCACATATACCTGAGTGGTGTCAGCGTTATAGAAGTCATTTTGTAGGCCTCTGCTACCAACTAGACTGAGTGGATTCTTTGCTTATATAGCTTTGTTTTACCTTTCTTTCAGATTACAAGAGTTTGTGTGTGTGTGTGTGTGTGTGTGTGTGTGTGTGTGTATTCAAAAAAGAAAACATGGAGAACACAGAAAAACACAAGTAAGGCAATGAAACTCAAACGCAATTTCACCAGAGATGGCAGAACCTGTAAGAGTGTTTTCCATTAATTTTTATCAAGTCAGAGTAGACTGAACTCTTACAAATTGTTTTAAACCATTTTTGCTTTGTGTAAGTCAACAGCCCAGAGCACTCATTAGACTAGCACAATTCAACATTTGAGAGAGACACCATCTCCTAGCTTTCGTCTATGTGCAAAGCAGCTTACCTTCAATCAGCTGTGACAGCTGTGTCCCAGTCACCAACGTCTCAGTGACATCGCTCTTTCGGGACGCCTTTCGGTAGCGAACCCTATAGCCAGTAATCTGCCCATTCTGTGTGGCTGGAGGAGGTGGCTGCCAGTGAATCACAATACTCTGGGAAAGACAAGATTACGGGGAACAGACCGAATATATCAAATCTTGGTTCCGCTTTATGTATTATTACCCTGAATTCAGTGTGTAAGAGAAGGAACCATAAAAGCAACAGAGTGTTCAGACAGAGTTTTACTAAGTTATTTAATAATCACTCAAAAATAGTGTTTAATTTTAAAACCATCAAAGATCAAATGGGGAGACTGTATTTGTGGGCAGTATACACTGGGCACTTGATTTATTTTGCCAGAATGAAGACATAGGGCAAAAGTCTCAGGAAAGTTTTTGAAGGAAAACGTAGGGTCAGAGGCATGTGGATTAGGAAGTAAACTACTGTTAGGTGTAAGGTTCTCTTCTACTTCCACTGTAGCAACAGCAAAATTAGACAATTTCTGTCTAAAACTTTTCAAAGAGGGAACTGTTAATCAACAGCTGGTTGTTTCTTAAAGGAAAAGGAGTCCCATAATCCTTTTTGAAAGAACTGACTGTCTCAGTTGTCTATGCAGCCCAGTAGGGGTTCTGGGCATCTGAGAGGAACACATGGCCTTCAGTGCACAGTGAACTTGACCAGGAGGGACAGCTTCAGCAATGCAACCATCTGACAGACGTATGCCTTTGATTCACACTAGGCTCACCTCACAGTAATAAACAGGCTATGGTATCATAAACAACAACTTACTTCTTTCTACCTGTCACCAAGGTTCTGGATGGTTAACATCTAGGATGTCATGATTTACATAATAATAGCAATGTATTTGAAGAAAGGCTAAAGTAATTTTTGCACAATAGAAAGGCAGTAAAGTTGAACAGAATCAACCAGAGTTGGCTTCTAAGCCCAGCTTTAAACTGGCAAGTGTAACATCTATGTTACTTTATTTCTTTGCTTGATTATGATGTTTTGATACAGAATCTCCCTCTCTATTTGCCCTCCTGAGGCAAACAGAAAATGAACAACAGCAATATAAAGTTTTACCTTTGAATTTCTTACTTCTAAAGACAGATTCTGAGGAGCAGCACTGGGAACTGAAAGGGAAAAAAAAAAAAAAAAAAAAAGAAAAGAAAAAAAAATTTCAATCACTCAGGCGTCACCCATCATGTGACTGTTCTTGGCTGGACTTTATACAAATGCGCATCTCAAACACTGATATACAACCTGAAGGTCTAACCCAGCAGCCAGTGCCCTCGTGTTGAAAGTATCTGGACAAGGTGTGGGGCCATATTTGATTCATTTAAAATAATGAGACCCGTTCACATATGCACCCATACCCAAGTCAGGCTGTACCTTTGGGAAGTCAGGTACTTATTTCAAGGATATGATAGTGACCGCAAACTTTTCTAGACCCCAAATACATTCTGAATTTTTAACGTATTCTTCTGAATATTCTTGGGAGTAGCATATCTTTATCTTGGGATACATTTTCTGGAAACAAGTCTAATGACTATAGCAAGTGAATCAACTGGGTAATATCACTATGAGTCCAAAATGTGATGTACACAAATCAATGAGCTTGGCTTTCTTGTGGGGTCTTAAACTGGTTTTAAAGGCAGTGTGCAAGTAGAGCAAAGAGATGTTTAAGCAATGACAGTCCAGTTAAGAAACGATTTGGCTTCCCAAGGGAACTAGGTAGCAGGGAACACTCATTCAGATGTGAGAAGTTTGGGACCGTTGGTTAAAAAACAGCTGTATAACTTTAGCTTCTCACATATTAGAACATAAGACAAGGGTATCTCAAAGTTTATGGTCCACACACCCTCCACTGTCTTCTTTTGTAGTAATTATAGGAAGCAAAGAAAATTTAAGTAAACCTGATTAGTTTCTTCTCCATCACAAAATGCTAACCTTGGCTTTTCTCTCCTAAATCCATCCATGGAAATTTCTCCCTCCCATTCTCTGACATTTGGTGACCAGGTGTATAACTAAGTGCCCACCGAGCTACAGGCTTCTGGAGGACAGAGACTATTTCTTGTTCGCTGCTGAATCCTGTGCTAACAACAAAGTACATCAGGCCTCAACCAGGAGATTCAGGCACAGAGGGTCTGGAGAAAGACTTAGGAACCTGTGTTTTGAAAAAAGTCCATGGATGGTTTTGATCATCTCCCTGTTAAGAACCTCTGACTTAGCTGCAAAGGCACCAACATAATTGCTGTTGCTGTCTTCTTCATTATCATCACCACTGCCACCATCATAGCTAAGATCTGCTGCATGCTCCTACATGACAGGTACTTAATCCTTAAAACAATCCTACAAAGGAGTTTCTATTATTATTCCCATTTTATAGATGAGAAAACTATAGATGAAGCTCAGGAGAGTTAACTTGCTCAAGGTATTTGTTTCAGCTGGTGTAGGAACTAAGATTTATCTTACTCCGAACTGCTGCCCTTAACCACCATGCTGAGAAACATTCAGTTCCCGTGACAGGCACTGTAGTCAGCATGCCAAGCCACTTAATGCAGTTAAAAATGGCTCATGGGTAGATTTAAGAGCCTACCTCAAAAAACAGGGTAATGTAGTTGGCTAACCAAACTACAGTTTGCATTTATTTTTCCCAACTTTTTATCCTGAAAAATTGCAATCAGAAAGAGTGACAAGAAGAATACAATGAACACCATGCATTCTTTTCCTGGATTCACCAATTGTTAATATTCTGCCACTTCTGCTTTATTTCTCTCATTATATTTACACAAACATGTTTATCTATCTACATATTGTTTCTGGATGGCTGAGAGACAGTTACAGTCATCATGATACTTCACTCAATACTACAGTATGTATCTCCTAAAAACAAAAACATTCTCCAACAAAATGATAATACAGTGATCACACTCAAAATCTAATCAACACAAAAATATTACCTAATATAATTAATAACATATCTAGTATTTAATACTGATACTATACGAACCTAACATTAAGTAATTGTAACAAGAGTGTCCTTTTTAGCTGTTTTAATTCCCAGAATCAAAGATCACACATGTTTTATTTTATTTCATGTGTCTTTACTTTCCTTTAATCTACATTCTAGAACGACTCCCCTACCTTTTTTGTTTTTTTCACGAGACTAGTATTTTCTAAGAATTCAGGACAGTTTATTTAATTATTTGAAGAATGTCCATCAATTTCAATATGTCTAGTTATTTCATCATGATCATATTTAAATTAAACATTTTTGGCAGGGATACAACATAGAGGTGAAGTTACATCTTTCTCGATGCAACATATCACATGATGTCAGTCTGCTCCTTTGTTGGTGATGTGATGTCTGACTACCTGCTTAAAGGAGTCAAACTATAGCTTCTAAGGCATGCTTTTTTATATATAAGGGCTATACACATATACACACATTTTTAAGAAAAAGACATTTTTGTTAACACTTGGATTTAGCTGAGTTTCAGGACATAATACATACGCTAATTGCAATAAACTGGTATTTTCTGTTCTACTTTAAAAACATTTTTTAAAAATGCTGGTCTTGACCAACTCAATCTTGTTGGCAGGCTGTACTTTGAAAACGATTGCTTTAGGGTCATGGGTATAAGCAAATATTCAGTCACAGGTGAGAAATACTGTCACAAAATCCTGAGGAATTTAAAAGACCTATTTGTATGCACCCAACACAGGAGCACCTCAATACATAAGGCAAATGCTAACAGCCATAAAAGGGGAAATCGACAGTAACACAGTAATAGTAGGGGACTTTAACACCCCACTTTCACCAATGGACAGATCATCCAAAATGAAAAAAATAAGGAAACACAACCTTTAAATGATCTATTAAACAAGAAGGACTTGATATTTATAGGACATTCCATCCCAAAACAACAGAATACACTTTCTTCTCAAGTGCTCATGGAACATTCTCCAGGATAGATCACATCTTGGGTCACAAATCAAGCCTTGGTAAATTCAAGAAAATTGAAATCGTATCAAGTATCTTTTCCGACCACAATGCTATGAGACTAGATATCAATTACAGGAAAAAAAATCTGTAAAAAATACAAACACATGGAGGCTAAACAATACACTACTAAATATCCAAGAGATCACTGAAAAAAATCAAAGAGGAAATCAAAAAATACCTAGAAACAAATAACAATAAAAACACGACCCAAAACCTATGGGATGCAGCAAAAGCAGGTCTAAGAGGGAAGTTTATAGCAATACAATCCTACCTCAAGAAACCAAAAACATCACAAACAACCTAAACTTACACCTAAAGCAATTACAGAAAGAACAAAAAAACCCCAAAGTTAGCAGAAGGAAAGAAAACATAAGATCAGATCAGAAATAACTGAAAAAGAAATGAAGGAAACAACAGCAATGATCAATAAAACTAAAAGCTGGTTCATTGAGAAGATAAAATTGATAAACCATTAGCCAAACTCATCAAAAAAAAAAAGGGAGAAGACTCAAACCAATAGAATTAGAAGCGAAAAAGGAGAAGTAATAACTGACACTGCAGAAATACAAAGGATCATGAGAGATTACTACAAGCAACTATAATGCCAATAAAATGGACAACCTGGAAGAGATGGACAAATTCTTAGAAAAGCACAACCTTCCGAGACTGAACCAGGAAGAAATAGAAAATATAAACAGACCAGTCACAAGCACTGAAATTAAGACTGTGATTAAAATTCTTCCAACAAACAAAAGCCCAGGACCAGATGGCTTCACAGGCAAATTCTATCAAACATTTAGAGAAGAGCTAACACCTATCATTCTCAAACTCTTCCAAAATATAGTGGAGGGAGGAACACTCTCAAACTCATTCTATAAGGCCAACATCACCCTGATACCAAAACCAGACAAAGATGTCACAAAAAAAGAAAACTGCAGGCAAATATCACTGATGAACATAGATGCAAAAATCCTCAACAAAACACTAGCAAACAGAATCCAACAGCACATTAAAAGGATCAAGTGGGGTTTGTCCATGATCAAGTGGGGTTTGTCCAAGAAAAGCAAGGATTCTTCAATATACTCAAATCAATCAGTGTGATAAACCACATTAACAAATTGAAGGAGAAAAACCATACGATCATCTCAATAGATGCAGAAAAAGCTTTCGACAAAATTCAACACCCATTTATGATAAAAACCCTCCAGAAAGTAGGCAGAGAGGGAACTTACCTCAACATAATAAAGGCCATATATGACAAACCCACAGCCAATGGCGTTCTCAGTGGTGAAAAACTGAAACCATGTCCACTAAGATCAGGAAAAAGACAAGGCTTGCTAAAAAGACAAGGCTACTCTTTAGCCACAGCAATCAGCGAAGAAAAAGAAATAGAAGGAATCCAAATTGGAAAAGAAGAAGTAAAGCTGTCACTGTTTGCAGATGACATGATACTATACATACAAAATCCTAAAGATGCTACCAGAAAACTACTACAGCTAATCAATGAATTTGGTAAAGTAGCAGGATACAAAATTAATGCACAGAAATCTCTGGCATTCCTATACACTAATGATGAAAAAACTGAAAGAGAAACTAAGGAAACACTCCCATTTACCACTGCAACAAAAAAAAATAAACCTACCTAAGGAGACAAAAGACATGTATGCAGAAAACTGTAAGACACTGATGAAAGAAATTAAAGATGATACAAATATATGGAGAGATATACCATGTTCTTGGATTGGAAGAATCAACACTGTGAAAATGACTATACTACCCAAAGCAATCTACAGATTCTATGCAATCCGTATCAAACTACCAATGCCATTTTTCACAGAACCAGAACAAACAATTTCACAATCTGTATGGAAACACAAAAAGACCCTGAATAGCCAAAGCAATCTTGAGAAAGAAAAACGGAGCTGGAGGAATCAGCTTCCCTGACTTCAGACTATACTACAAAGCTACAGTAATCGAGACAGTATGGTACTGGCACAAAAACATAAATATAAATCAATGGAACAGGATAGAAAGCCCAGAGATAAACCCACTCACATATGGTCACCTTATCTTTGACAAAGGAGACAAGAATATACAATGGAGAAAAGACAGCCTCTTCAATAAGTGGTGCTGAGAAAACTGGACAACTACGTGTAAAAGAATGAAATTAGAACACTCCCTAACACCATACATAAAAATAAACTCAAAATGGATTAAAGACCTAAATGTAAGGCCAGACACTATAAAACTCTCAGAGGAAAACATAGGCAGAACACTCGATGACATAAATCACAGCAAGATCCTTTTTGACTCATCTTCTAGAGAAATGGAAATAAAAACAAAAATAAACAAATGGGACCTAATGAAACTTAACAGCTGTTGCACAGCAAAGGAAACCATAAAAAGACGAAAAGACAACCCTCAGAATGGGAGAAAATATTTGCAACCGAAGCAACTGACAAAGGACTAATATCCAAAATTGACAAGCAGCTCATGCAGCTAAATATCAAAAAAACGAACAACCCAATCCAAAAATGGGCAGAAGACCTAAATAGACATTTCTCCAAAGAAGATATACAGATTGCCAACAAACACGTGAAAGGATGTTCAACATCACGAATCATCAGAGAAATGCAAATCAAAATTACAATGAGTATCACCTCACACCAGTCAGAATAGCCATCACCAAAAAATCTACAAACAATAAATGCTGGAGAGGGTGTAGAGAAAAGGGAACCCTCTTGCACTGTTGGTGGGAATGTAAATTGATAGAGCCACTATGGAGAACAGTATGGAGGTTCCTTAAAAAACTAAAAATAGAACTACCATATGACCCAGCAATCCCACTACTGGGCATATACCCTGAGAAAACCATAATTCAAAAAGAGTCATGCACCACATGTTCACTGCAGCTCTATTTACAATAGCCAGGACATGGAACCAACCTAAGTGTCCATTGACTGATGAATGGATAAAGAAGATGTGGCACATATATACAATGGAATATTACTCAGCCATAAAAAGAAACGAAATTGAGTTATTTGTAGTGAGGTGGATGGACCTAGAGACTGTCATACAGAGTGAAGTAAGTCAGAAAGAGGAAAACAAATACCGTATGCTAACACATATATACGGAATCTTAAAAAAAAAAAAAGGTTCTGAAGAACCTAGGGTTAGGACAGGAATAAAGATGCAGACATAGAGAATGCACTTGAGGACATGGGGAGGGGGAAGCGTAAGCTGAGATGAAGTGAGAGAATGGCAGGGACATATACACACTACCAAATGCAAAACAGGTAGCTAGTGGGAAGCAGCTGCACAGCACAGGGAGATCAGCTCGGTGCTTTGTGTCCACCTAGAGGGGTGGGATAGGGAGGGTGGGAGGGAGACGCAAGAGGGAGGAGATATGGGGATATATGTATATGTATAGCTGATTCACTTTGTTATACAGCAGAAACTAACACACCATTGTAAAGCAACTATACTCCAATAAAGATGTTAAAAAAAAAAAAAAACCTATTTGGCAGGCAAATATGATTACTAAGTAGAGCAAGCCCAGCCTTCCAACTGCCCTGGGATGGTCTGTGCTATGAACAAGCAATAATATTTACTCAAACAAAAGCATCTAGTAAAAATAAAAATACAGAGAAACTATTCAGTACCAGGCACTACATGTTCTATGCTCTCTCACTGGATCTTTACAGCAACCCAATGAAGTTGGTATTATAAATTTCACATATAAGGAAACATGCTCAGACATGTGAAGTGACTTGACCCAAGTCACACTACTAGAACTGGTATCTGAACCAGTTCAGATGTCAAATCTCCTTGACATCAAAGCCCATGATTTTAATACTATGCGACCAGTGCCCCCAAGCATGGTATTTTGTTCCAGAGGAAGAAAGACTCACCATCTGAAAATGTTCGAACAGCAACATCTTGTGTGGAGACTCCAGGACCATGTTTATTGTAGGCCACCACTCGGAAACTATACTCTGTATATTTTTTCAACCCATTAATGGTGTGGGAGTGACTTGAAACATCAACATCCTTGAATAAAATAAAACAATTTATATATACACAACTCAAGCCAAAAGAAATGCTGCAAAATAAAGAATTAACTATACAAATTCTATATTTGACATAAGGCAGATTTTTGTCCCTTTTACAGAATATTATTTAACAGTTAAAGCAAATTAATCATAAGCACTGCAGTTTGCTGAGAAATACTCCTTGATGTTTAGGAACCCTTGCTGGCAAAAACTACAGAATAAACCTTTGTACCAAGAAATAGAATCTATCAACTTTTCATTTCTTATACATATTTTTTTCCTCAGATTTCTAGACAAGCAGGTATTGAGTTTTGGAAATATATTTCAACTCTACTATTCCAATCAATGCATTAAAAAATGGCTTCCTATTATACCTGTTCTTTATCAGTTCCTTTTTCCATGTAGTACAGTTTGTAATTCTGAATTTCCCCATTTCCAGACAATGGTGTTTCCCAGGTGACAGTAATGGAAGTAGGTGAAGTTGCATATGCTCGGATGTTAGGTGCTGGGCCAGGGAGCTGAACTAGAAAGAAAATTTCAAGACAGTAAGACATAAATAAAATTTACTGCATCCCTCAAGGCCGTTCTCAGCAATAATGGCACACTATGTTTTTTCTTTAATTTAATAAATCAATTAATTTATTTTTGGCTGCGTTGGGTCTTCATTGCTGCTTGCGGGTCTTCTCTAGTTGCAGCGAGCGGGGACTACTCTTCATTGCATTGTGTGGGCTTCTCACTGAGGTGGCTTCTCTTGTTGAAGAGCATAGGCTCTAGGCACGTGGGCTTCCGTGGTTGTGGCATGTGGGCTCAGTAGTTGTGGCTTGCAGGCTCTAGAGTGCAGACTCAGTAGTTCTGGCACACGGGCTTAGTTGCTCCACGGCATGTGGGATCTTCCCGGACCAGGGCTCGAACCTGTGTCCCCTGCGTTGGCAGGCGGATTCTTAACCACTGCGCCACCAGAGAAGCCCTGGTTATGTTTTTAAAACAATAAAAACTACGAAAACAAGTGATCTGACTGAAGTGGTTTCAGGATAATATATAATTAAATGATTTCCCTCTTTATGACTGAAAAACCAAAAATCATCTGTGAAGTATCTCAAATTTATTCAAAGAAAAAAGTGAACAGTGCAGAATTCTTCTTGTGGTTTATAAAATCCTAGTTTTGCAGTGGGACTGCAGCACATAAAAGCGAACATCACAAAAAGAGAGCCTTCTTTTACCAGGCTCTGGGGATACAATGAATGATGGACAGAGTCCCTGCCCACAAAGAACTCCCAGTCTAGAGGGGAGTCAGACATACAGGTACAAAGAAGATCCTAAGCGCTGATAGATTAGGTAACATCTGTAATGAAAACTGAAAGAAGAGAGTACACAATTCTGCTTTGGGTGGGGGTGGTTAGGAAAGGGAAGGATTGGTGAGGACTTCTGGGGAGCAGGAAGAATGAGGAGTTTGCTGACACCAAGAGGGAAATTGATCCAACCAATTTGGACATAACAGGTGAGAAGACAGTGTCATGTTGTTCAGGTTGAAACAAAGAATGGATATGGGAGAGAGAATGCTGCAAAGGATGACAAGAGCCAGATAAAGGAGAACCTCTAAGGCCCTGCTATGAGTTTGGATTATTTCTTGTAGGTGTTAGGTAATTACTGAAGAATTATGAGCAGGAACATGACATGATCAGATCTGCATTTAAAAAGAACACGTGAACACATGCATGGAAGAAAAACAATAATGGCACAAGACTAGATATTTAAAAAATAGCCACCATTTATTGAATGCTTGCAATCAGTCCAGCATTAAGTGCTTTACATTTATTTAAATTACATTTTATTTAATCTGTGCACTAACCCAAATGAGACGGATACTGTTATCATCCCTACTTATGGATGAGGCTGAGAGGTTAAGAACCATTCCCAGAAGATGGAAAAGTTGGCGGGTAGTGGAGCTAGGAGCTGAGCACTTCCTCGTTCTAAAACGTGGACTCAGGAAAACCAGTTAGGGGATTATGACAACACCCTCTGTGGGATGATGTGACTGGAAGATCCTATGATTGGTTGACTGATTGTCTGCCCAGCTCTAAATCCTACAACAGCTCACATCCTTTTTTACTATATTCTTTTTGTCTTGACTGACAGGTTCCAGTCCCAATTTATACACAAATCCCAGCAGGTGCCTGTATCTACATTTTGGTAGATACTCTGTATCTGAAAACCATTTCTCTGGTGCCAGCGCTTCTGTAACAGACATCCATTAGATTTAAGGAAAGGGGCAAAAACTAACAAAATGTAAAACAAACTGGCTTGCTTAAATAACAGCATGACAGCTTAAGATTAGTTTTCCTACCAAAGCAGAGAAACCTGAATATGGTTTTCTGGCAGTTGTTTGCTTTATTTAGGCATGAATCATGTTATTCACTTAAGAGCATGTTTTGTGCAGCCTGACAGGTGGGATTCATCACACTTCTGCTGCTATGGAAAACTTTCCCCTAACTTTTTAAAAGGGAAGGAGAACAGAACAAATTCCCTTGAAATCACTTTCAGTATATTCATTGGCTAAATGTAGGCAAAGATGATCCTAAAATAGGAGCTAGTGAATTCTTTCATTTCATCTGTACAGTGGCATTAAAAAATGGAAAAAAATTTAAGTTGGTTTGAAAAGCTAAAAATGTAAACTATTTTCCCAAGGCTGACTCCCATACTTACGGCCCCTCCCACCTGCCCCCAAGCTGAATACCTCCAGATAAAATGCAAATCTCTCTCCACTAACTCCTCTTTTGCCAAAACATGTTATAGTCACTCTCTACCCCTAAAATACTCTCACCAGAATCTGTTGCCCCTTCCAGCTATATTCTTATTTAGCTACTTTCGTTTAATCGAATTCCTTGAATAAATGATTGTGCTGCCTACTTCCCTTGTGATGACTGTACATCACATTATTGCCTGTTTACTTGCCTGGCGCTGGTACCAAACTGTAAGCTCCTTGTGAACAGAAGTCGTCTTACGCGTCTTTACATCTTGCTGCCTAGCATGGTGCCTGGCACATGACAGGCACTCAATAAATCTCTTCTTTCATCTCTAACTTGACAATGCCCCTTCTAGTCCAGTGGTTCTCAATAGTTTGACTTGTAAGTTCTGAAATGATAATGAAAACCACAGGCTCTTTCCCAAGGAAAATGTGAACATGTACAGACACACAAATATTTTCATGTATCTTCAGAAGGTTCATGGCCCCAGGATTGAACCCTGGAACTGAATCAAATTCAGTGGTCTTTTCCTTTACTTTCATCATGACTCACCTTGCATGTGCACTGTTTGTCCTATTTTGGGGTGGGGTCAAGCAGTGTCCTTCCCCAAGAATGCTTGCTCTAAGCCAAATGCTTTAAGGCCAACCTCAGGTCTCATCTTTTTCTAGGAACCTGACTTGATATACCTAACTTTTACAGTAACTCTTCCTTGCTCTGTATCCCATTCTCTCTCATGAATGACACCTGCATGTGAGAGTTAATGAAGGAAAACTGAGTTTTGCTTCATGGCTTGAGTTTGAAATCTAATAGATTGTTCCTGCTCTCATCTGAACACAGTAACCATGAAATTCAACATCCTTTCCCTGCAGCGAGAACACATTCTTTCCTTAAATCAACACCACCACCACCCCCTCTCTGTTGGCCCTCTTGTTGTTTCTTGGGTTTGATTCCTGATCTTTAAGCTCTATTACTGGAATGATCAATGGCTTCCTATCTTAACTGCTCATTCTTTAAGGGGAGAATTCCTATCTTGTCCATCCTCTGCATCTCTAATAGTTTGTGCAGTGCCTGGTAGCGGAGGTCCTCAATAACTGTTTGACGGGTAAACGATTTGCTGCAGCATTAGAAAGTGAAGTTCCACAGCTTTTCGACTTTACTTATATCAGGCAGAGTCCTTGAATTATTTCCATAGTTTCAGTGGTAAATTCATTTAATATGTTTAGTTCCCTGGTCAGTAGCTTTCATGAATTTATCTCCCATGCTCCCTAGCTGAAGTAAAATTTTGTTACTGCAAGTTTGTTAATACAGAAACACTAGTGCAGTTAACAGTAAAAGAAATCTGGAGAAGGCTCCAAGGAAAAACAGTGGCTCATGTTAAAAGGTAAAAGTGTAGAAGAAAGCCTCATGAGATAAGCATTAATTCTGATTTGACTGCTTCTTGTCATTTCTGGCCTATAGTTTAAAACCAAAATTTAAGACATAGAAGACATTTATAAGATAAATCAACTTGACACTCATTTCAGTTGGAGAAAATCTTAAGAAATGTAACTGGAAGTAACATTATTTAGCACAAAAGACAGCAGGTCCAAAGTAAAGCCCTGAAGAGATTCCAAAGAGTGTGGTATGTATAAAGATCAGGGCAATCCCGTTGAACAATTATTAAATACCTACTGCCTGTGTGAGGCACTGCATTAGATATGGTGGGAAATAAAAGGATAGAAAAGATTCTGTCTTTGCCATAAAATTAATGAGATATATTCATAAGCATAATTCAAGGAAGAAAATGATAATGTATTTTAGGACTGTCGAGATACAACATTAGATAAGATCAGAGGGAAGATTCTAAGAAGGCATCTGAGCTAGGTCTTAAAGGATCAGTAAAATTTGGGTGTCTATCAGCCGAATTATATTGTCTTACACTATTTGCTACTGCTTGATGTGAATTAATTTGATATCCCGTAACTATTTTGTAAGGACCTTGAAGGTGAGGAACTGTTATCTTCTGCACTCCTATGGTATGCCAGGCTATATGTAAGGTAGCCCTTCATACAGGTCTCCCTACAGGTGGGGCTGACAGAGAGGTGGGAGACTTACCCTCAGGCTGTGTTTCTACTCGTAGTGGAGCTGAACTCTCTCCGGAGCCATGTTTATTTTGAGCCATAACTCTAAAGATGTACACAGTCGCTGGCATTAGGTTTTGGATGGTTACCTGCATTTCTCCGGGGCGACTGGTATTTTCAACACGTTCCCTTTGGAGAAAGAGGGATCGATTAGGAAAATTTCCAGAATGTGCAGTTTCATTTTCACTGTAATGCCTATAGATACCATATGACATCAAAATCTTAATAAATCTAAGTCAAATTAACTCTCAAAAAAGGAAACTTTTGGGGGCGGAACAGTGCACAGAGTATGGACGCTGGCAAAGAGCAATGTCATACGTGTCTGATAAATCGCTGATGTTCTTGCTTGAACATTACTGATATTGCTGGCTATAATCACAACTTCCTTTCAGAAAAGACACAAAGAGTCTTCTTGGTGCCATCTCAAATGGGGCAGCTGGTCACCAATTCTGTACGCTTTAGGAATCACTGAATTTTAAGGGGTTATCCTCAGGGAGACATATAGAAGGTGATTATAGATATGACCCAATTTTCACAGACAGTATCAAAGAATGCTGTGTATCTTCTGGATAACAGACTCTCAATAAAAAGAAAATTAGAGATTATCACTTTCAAAACTGAGAACAAAACATTAAAAATTTAAATGAGTCCAGTCTATAAAATAAGCTAATCATGACTCTGATTTTATTTTATTTTATTATTATTTTTTTTGCGGTACGTGGGCCTCTCACAGCCGTGGCCTCTCCCGCCACGGAGCACAGGCTCCGGACGCGCAGGCCCAGCGGCCATGGCTCACGGGCCAAGCTGCTCCGCAGCATGTGGGATCCCCCCGGACCGGGGCACGAACCCGTGTCCCCTGCATCGGCAGGCAGACCCCCAACCACTGCGCCACCAGGGAAGCCCATGCCTCTGATTTTTATAATTTATTTCTTAAAACAAAAAATCTTCTTGAATGATTTTCAAACTGATTTGAAACATTTAACAAATCTTATCACAAACAGTACAAATGGCCAGTGGTCTAGTGTTATGAGAGGAAAACATAAAAACAGTTATCAGTTAGGTTCTTTAAAAAGGTGGCCTCCAGGCTCTATTTTGGGGGTCTCTGTGTCCACACTTGGGCCTATAATTATGCTCAGTATACTGTACTCACTATAACAAAAACCAGACTATATTTGCTTTCAACAAATATTGTAAAGGAAAATAATTGCTTTAGACAAATAGCTGGTCTTTAAGAATTACTGATCATGTGAGGAAAGATCTGTGTCTATCTTGAGAGAGCAATAAAAGGGCCCAAAACTACTCTGTGGAAGAAATTATTTTAAATTACCTAATAATCTGTTGAATTAAATTCTTACTTTAAAATACTGATAATTTTCCCTGAAGCTACTGATTAAGATTTGTTTAGTTCTACGTGACCATATGCCAATTTGTCTGATTGTGTGTGAACATTTGCATTTCGGAGATGTGAGCGTTTTTCAATAGTTTTCTATAGTTCTTTGAACTATGTCATTTTAATTAAAACAAACAAACAGTACCCACCCACAACGTATTTATAAAGGTTCTGTCTACAGTCAGTTAGGTCCATTGGAAAAGAATATCATGGTAACAAAAGTTATTGCTCAGAGACACTTGAGATATCTATAGATATTATTTTCTCTTCAGCTAAACCTCTAAATCACAAGATTTAGAAGGAGAGTATCAACTGATTTCTTATGCTGTGAGGTTTCTGACACTTGATCTGATCACAAATGCTGTCTAAAAGGAAGTATGGTACTTGACATTTCATTAAACTAACAGCTCCACGCCAGAGCACAGAATAGTCTGTTTCGCTCACTGTACATGAAACTTTAAACAAGTTCTCTCTCAGAAAGACAGCGGGGGGTGGGGGTGGGGCACTATCTT